GACTCGATGACGCAACAATACTCTACTACTAATCAACATAATGGAAAAGAATGACTGAAAAAAATCAGCAAATCCTCAATTTAAAATAATTATAATATCTCCGAAACGTAAATTATTGTAACTAATAATAGATGGTTCTTTCTACTAACTAACACGTTTGAAAAATGAGAATACAGTGTTCCTAGGGTATAAAAAATAGGCTTGATGGTCACAACTTTCTAATAAAGATGCAACTATAGTATTCCTTGAGTAAAGAAGTGAGGCTTAAGGCTCACGACCTCTGATAAAAAGTGCATATTTTCTAAATATTGAGTTCTGTCTGCACCGATAAGTAATAATACATTATTCACCTAACATAAATAAAACAAAAACGTCTTAAATTCTTCATCCTTAAATAATATACGTAATCATTCCTTAAGAATGTTCCCCTACTTTCACCAAGTTAGTCTTCACTCGAGAAGAAAAACTTCAACAATTTTCTTATTATTAATATTTTTTTAAAATAAAACTTAATATATAAACTGAAAATTACATTAACAACTTGTTTTAATTTCATATCTCTTCAAAAGCAAATCGTTTTGAATTTTTCATTTAATAATTTTATGTGTCCAAGCAAAAATTATTGAAATTTACAGATGGCAGATCAGTAAATCCGATATTTTTAACCCTTATTCGAAGAGGTTGAATTAGATCAAGGTAAGGTAGTGGTAATGAATTATTACGATTAAGGTAATGTTGTTTAGAAAATTGGACATAGAAAATGGTTTTTACTTTCAAACAGGTAAATATAAATCTGAGTGATGATCCAGCTACATTATGTCTCGGTATAACAGAATAAACTGCAGAAAGTCCACGGAAATACGTCAAACCCATGTGTAAATAAAAGTCCACATGGATAGAACAGTCTGACAGTAATAACGATAATTACTAGTAGACTGGATTGCAAACGGAAGCTACCAAACAACTTCCTTTTCTAATACTAAACACACACACAAATATTAACTTGCATTTTTTGTACTTCTGATTCAAGCAGGAAGTCAGTAGCTAGCTGCTTATTTTTCCGGTGATACTGATATTACCGTGTTCTTGTCGCAGGAACGATAGCAAACAACCTTCATTTCAAAACACCCAGTCTTAATTAATATTCCATATATAATATTAGTTTTCGATCAGATAACACTTTCCTTATCAATAAGAAACATTTCTATGAATAATAAAAACACAAAACGGTCGAAGGTTAATTAGGATTTATACGTTTTAGTTTTACAAGGCAAAATCACTGTTATACATTAATGGTAAAACCTACTATGCCCCACTTGCTTTGCAAGTCAAGCATCTGACAACTTGTCAAGTTATTTTAAATACAAATAAGTGATATCCTAGATAAACATTTACTAGATGTAAAAATGTGAACTATCAAAAATCAAGGATACCAACACCCCTGAAAGAACAGTTTCAAGGTAGGTGTCATGTCTAGAGACAGTTAACTGGAGAAGGGGCACTTCACATGAACGCCCTCGATAAGATTCAAGTTTGATAAATATTTAGTCACTCTCCCCATTTAGACTGAACTCAATATAAGTGTCGTGTCCAGAGACATTTAACTGGAGAAGGGGCACTTCACATGAATGTCCACCAAACTTGAATCTCATCGAAGATATTTAGTCATTCTCCCAGTTTAAACTGAACTCAATAAATCAGGGTCTTAGAATGTAGTCCCTTATGTGTGGCATCATTCCGCAGGATGTAATCTTCTATTACGACAGCGGAACTCACGTGACTCTGGTAACACGTGATGAGATTTTAGAAGGATCGGGGAACCTCACGAACGTCCCAGCGTTTGCTAGACGCCCTCTATTTTAGTATATAAGCCGGCAGATAAATTTATAACGGGATAATCGAGTCAAGCCATAAGTAAAGTGTGTAAATCATTGTGAATTATAGCGCGTGTTTAAGTTAAAGTGACTGTGGAAATTCTCTGTATTGCAAAGTTGTATTGAGGAAGAATAAACTAGTTTTATTTAAGAAAGGACTTGTATCGCTGAAGTTCCTTGGGAAGAATTTTTACAGGAAATTAACGAACGACCAGAAACGTAACACTTCTAGTGTTTGATATCATTCCATAGGTTGTAATCTTCTATTGTGTGGTATTATTCCACAGGATGTAATCTTCTATGGTGTGGTATCATTCTAAGGGTGGAGTCATCTAATGCGTATTATCATTCCATAGAATGTAGTCTTCTAATGTGTGGTATCATTCCACAGGATGTAATCTTCTGAGGTGTGATATCATTCCACAGGATGTAATCTTTGATGTGTGGTATCATTCCACAGGATGTATTCTTCTAATGTGTGATATCATTCCACAGAAATGATATAACGTGTGGTATCATTCTACAGGATGTGGTATTCAACTGAATGGTATCATTGTACAAGATAAAGAAGACGTACCATTACCTATTCTTGCTACCTGCGTCACTTTCCTGAGAGAAAATGGGGTTCAGTCTATCATTCGACTGAAGAGTGAGCAAGTTTCATATGGAAAAATAATATTGTTTCTCATTCCATGAGTTCAATGCATATCACAGGGTGTGTAACGTATATACCTGTGACGTGAAGCCTGTCTACACACTGACTCAGCAATCAGTACCCTAAGATTATGGCTAGTGCATATGTGCTTGTGTTGTAGATGATGAGCAGTCTTGTCCTGGTGCATGAGAACCTTGTCTATTACCTTGGAAGTAATTCAGCATTCTAGTTGTCTCAAGCCTGTATTTGGTAAGATGGTCTGCATTGTCTAGGTATCTAATTCCACACTCTACCTGTCTCATGCTTATGTTGTAGATGATGATAAGTCTTGTCCTGGTGCATGAGAACCTTGTCTATTACCTTGGAAGTAATTCAGCATTCTAGTTGTCTCAAGCCTGTATTTGGTAAGATGGTCTGCATTGTCTAGGTATCTAATTCCACACTCTACCTGTCTCATGCTTGTGAAGTAGATGACAGTCTGCCTTGTGTAGGTGCCTGATTGTACACTAGCTGGCTCATCCTTGTGAATATTTCCCTAATCTATATGTCAAATTGCACACTCTAGTTGTCTAATGTTTGTATAATGGACGATGGCTTGCCTTGTATAGATGTCTGACTCCATACTATCTGTCTCACGCATGTGTGTTTGATGAT